TGGAAAGTGTCACAAAGTCAGGGAAGTCACTAGGATGGGCTGGGAGAATCTAGAACAAGGCAAGAGGTGAGCTCTGCACTGCAGGGTCAACCTCCCTCTGGTACAGAACTGTAAACATTTCCTGCAGTTTAGTCTCCACACAAAAGGGAACTGTGAGCAGATGAAGCCACCTAAGAGCGGGCCAAGTGAACACTGAGGGTGAAGACCTGTTTCATGTTTCCCAGGCTCACAGGCACCCAACACTTCCTGTTACCTATAGCAATCAGCGTTTCGTAGTTTCTTTTCACATTCCTATAACGGATTTTTTCCCATTCTCCCATCTCTTCCCATTCTTCCTTGGAGAAGTATATGGAGATGTCTTTGAAAGCATCTTTGGCCTAGGGAAAATAATCGATTTCATCAGTGATTTACTAATCTAAGTCAGACCTTAGAGCTGGGCCTTCTCCTCCACTTTTTGTGCAGGGAGTAGCCTGAAGCTACTGGATGGTCTGTGTGAGACAGAGATGAAGACGTTCCTTCCTGACTGTGTCCTGCTTAACTGAACAAACACTGAGCATTTTCCTAACTCTCCCTGGACACAGAGCAGTTGACGAATCTAGTGTCCTGTTTTGTCCCACTCCTCCCCACCATCTCAGACAGGACCAGGCATTCCCATCCTGTGTACGGTCACAGGGAAGTTCACTCAGCTGTCCAGGCAAGCAGTGTGTGGTGCTTCAGGGACGAGCGCCATGTCCTTCCTATAGAGCTGGCTTAGAGCCCAGCTTTGCCGCCTCCACCTCTCACCGTGGGCTTCCGCTCTGTTCTCCCGGCATCTCCCTCAGTGCTCTCCTCTGGAGACCTGTTCGGCCTCATGGCCATTGGAGTGCTCAAGGCCAAGGTGCCTGTGGAAGAAGAAGGTGCTGAGATAGCCAAGACCACTGTCCAGAGCCTGGTCTTTCTTCCTTGGGTGGAGTGTCCAGGGCAGGAAGGTGAGGGGAAAGTCAGGGTGAGGGTATTGGTGGGATGGACAGATCCTGACTAGCTATGACAGATCAGCCTAATGTGAACTAGATTAGGTTTCTTTGGATCCCCTACAATTCAGCCCCTCTGAGGGAAGGCATTGGGAGGGATGTGTCTGTGGGTGATGGAGGGATTCTTGAGGAGACCCAGAAATCCCTAAGTGCTGGACTGGGGTCAGGCTGAAATCAGGGCTCTGTTCCAGTGCAGGAGAGAAATTATTTCTCCAAGAAAGGTTTTGAGGATCTCCGCCTGGGGACTCAGAAAAATCTGGGCATAACGTGGGTTCTATATCTAAGGGACAGGTCAATTGGCTTGAGGAGATCTGGGTCTCACGGGCTGAAGGAACTGGGGTCCTCAGGCAGAGGGGACTGGGGATCTTTTGGCTGATACAGAATGTGCAGGGTGAGAGAACTTGGCATCTTTCAGGCTGAGGAAATCAGGGGTTTCTTACTAAGGTGCTTTAGGCCTCCGACAGGCAGGACAATTGAGGTCTTGAGGAAGAAGAGCTTTAAGAGCTCCCAGGCTGAGGTATTCAGGGTCTCCGAGGTTAAGGAAATTTGGTGTCTCTGCGGGTGCTATTTTTAGGGTGCCTCAGGCTGAGGGGAGCTGGGGTTACTCTAGGTATTTGAGGGTTGCAGCACCAGGGGATTTGGTATTTCTGTGGGTGAAGGGATTTGTAGTCCCTGAAGCTGACGAGACACTAGCTTCCTTCAGATTAGGACTCAGGTTCCTCAAAGCTGACGGGATTTGGGGCCTCTCACCCTGGAATTTGAAGTCGTCAGGCTAAGGGTTTATGAGGGTTGTGCAGGGTGGTTCCCTGTCAGTCTCCCCGTTGTCCTGCGATGCTGCCCAACCCGGCCTGGGGTGCGCTAGTAGCTCGGCGACGTCCAGTCCTCCCGCGCTGAGGCGAAGTGAAGGGCCAGCAGCCCGCCTGTACCCTGTCAGGCACGAGCGACCAATAGGCCTTGCGACCGAGGCAGTCTGGCCAATAGGCGCTGGGAGAGTGCGGAGCGAGATGGAGGCCCCGCCCCACTGCTCGGGGATTGGCTGCTCTGAGGGCGTGTCTGTCAAGTAGATACAGTGCGCAGGCGCATCGTGGCTGTTTTCTTTGCTTGTTTTCAGGCATTGCATCTTAGGCCTGGATCCTCAAGTGAGCGGGTTGTCCTCAGGCTGGATGTTTCCTTCCAGTGCCCTCAACTAGAATCTCGGCTCCACCAGAGTGTAGTCGTGCTCCCGGACTTTCTCCTAGGCCCACCTGTGCCCTACCTTGCCAAATCCTGTTTTGGCAAGAACTCTATGTGATGAGTACTGCATTATTCCGGGGAAAATTGTGTAATTAACTAAATTCTGATGAGACACAGGATTAACAACGTATGGTCAAAGATTTAAACGCAAGGCATGGAATAAGTATGTTAGAAAAAACTTGGAGGATTTTAAACCTCAAAGTAGAAGTGGCACTGATGAATCATTTGTATATTTATTGTAGGTATTAAAAGCCTTCAGAAATGAGGTATAAATAAAACCTCAAAGCCTTGCATGTGTTTTCTGTAAAACGAGGCATCGAATTGGATGGAGCCACAGAGCTGAGTTTGCTTGACACCTACTGGCTTCACAAGGTAAAATTAGGGACACTGTTTCTGGCCCTTAGCTAGATTTGCTCACAGAAAAATAATGTGATTTCCATGTACTGGAAGCAAGGCAACTGACTGTAAAATTAGTATCAAGTGGTGGTTGGAAGTCTGGATGGAGAAATGTTACCAGGAAAGTGAGTTTACCTCTTGGTGGGTGTTGAGTCAGAAGATACAACCCAGCCAAAGCTCATGGGAAGGAAAAGTGTATTACTTCCATGGAGAACACCATGCAGCTTTCCAGAGCAGTATCTCTCTAAACTGCAAAGTTGGGGAAGCTTTAATCTATGGGTACAGGCGTGTTCAGGCTTTCATGGTGGCTCAGACGGTAAACAGTCTGCCCATAGCAGAAGACCCGGGTTCAATCCCTAAGTGGGGAAGATCCCCAGAGGAGGGCGTGGCAGTCCACTCTCGTATTCTTGCCTGGAGAATCCCATGGACAGAGGAGCCTGGCGGTCCATGGGGTTGCACAGAGTCAGACATGAGTGAGTGACTAACACGTTAACTTTACAGGCATGCTCATTAAGGGCCTTGGGCTGTGGGAGACTCCAAGCTTCAGCTGTATAGTGTGATAGCTCATGGCATTAATTTTTAATTCCCTAATGGTGTATGATGTTGAGCGTGTTTCTGTTTTGTACTATCTGTATAACGTTTTTTGGCTGGGTGTCTGTTCAGATCTTTACTTACTGTTTATAAGGTTGTTCAAGAGGCCTTTGTCTATTTTGTGTCCAAATCTTGTAACAGATATGAATTTTTCAAATATTTTTCTCCCAGTTTGTGGCTTGTATTTTGATTTTCTGAATGAGTTCTTTCAGAATAGATATCTTTATTTCTATAAAGTCCACAATATTTTTCTTTTGTGGACTGACAGCCTGTGTGTTAAAACTCAAAGCTCATGATATACAGGCCAAACCCAGGCGCATGTATATTTTCTACGTTTATGTCCACAATTTTGACAGTTTCAAAATTTAAATATCTGTTAATAAATTTGAGTGCATTTGGTGACTACATTTCATTCTATACAGTTTCGAGTTAATTATTCCTTAACTATTTTGGAGAAGTTTTGGATATTGGCAATATTTCAGTTTGAATTTCCATAGTTTAATGAACCTAGCAGAACTGCCCTGAGGGGCGGAGTCTCCACTTAGCTGTGCCTGCGCGAGTGAGGGAGGCTTGACCTGCAGTTCTCATTGGATGGCAGGGAGCGAAGAGCCCGCCTCCCTGACCCACCCCCACCCCAAGCGGAAATCCGGCTCTGACTGAGCACCTGGCTGCCTGTGGCTGCTGACAGGAGTCTGGTCTCCTCAGGACCCACTGGGATTTCAGATTTGGGATGTTGTGGGAGTCAGTTCAGGAAGACAGGGAGTCTGGTCTCCTCAGGACCTGCTCAGGTTTTGGCTTTGGGACATTGTGGGGTTCACTTCAGGCTGACAAGAGATGGGTCTCCTCAGGATCCACTGGTGTTTTGGCTTTGGGACATTGTGGGGTGGGTTCAGGCTGAGACGTCTGGAAGGCGTCGCCCCCGGGTGGGTGGTCGGATCGGTGGCCTTTGCGATTGAAGGGGATGAGGATCCGCGCGAGAAGGTGGGGGGCGCCGTGCAGAGTAGGGGTTGGGTGGGAAACGCGGCTCTCCTCCGCCTTCCCGCCCGCCCCTCCACCCCCGGCCTGGCGCCCCGCCACTCTTGCCCCGCGCCCGGTGGTCTTCTCCGGTGTCCCTCTTCCGCCCGACCTCACCGCCACGTTCCCTCGAGGTTGGGTCGTAGGGTTGGTGGGGGGGAAGGGGTGCTCAGAGTGCCCCGCCCCACACCACGCGCCTTTGCCCGTGGCACCGGCCTCCCCCCACACCCCGCCGCGGACCACAGGGCCCGGATCCTCCGGTCGCGTCTCGCGGGCTGTGCGGCGTGACGGGTGGCTGCTCCCCGCCGCGGGGTAGCCTCCTGCCGCTGGCCCTGGGCCGGTCTGTCTCGGCCGGTCGTCGGTCGTCCGCTGCTCTGGGACTGCCGCGCGGTCGCCAGGCACCTCCCCACGCCCTCCGAGCCTCGGGGCTTGCTCCCAACCCCCCCCTCCCCACGCCTCCCGCGGCTGTCTTGTCCGGTTCTCTCGCCCTCTCACCTCTGTCGTGTCCCCTGCCCGCTTGGCGCCACGCTTCCCGTCGGACCCCTTCCCTCTGCCCTTGGTGGTGGGGGGAGAAGGGTGCCTGGGACGCGGGCGCGGGTAGGGGGCCTCGGTGGTTGAGGGGAGAGGACGGGGTCTAGGGGGGCAGCCGTACGGGTGTGCGAGGTGGTGGGGAAGGGCTCTGCCCCGTTTCGGGGGGATGTGGGGGTGGTGGTCTGGCGTCGGCGGGGACCTCGGGGTGGCGGTCGACCGGCGCACGGTGGGGCCCCCATGCGTCACGGGCCGGCAGCACCGAGGCCCGGGGCCGGGGGCGGGGACGCGGTGGTGGTCTAAGTCGGGGCGGTGGCCCGTGGGGCGCGCTGTGCGCCTCGCCGGCCTCCTGCTTTCCAGGTACCTAGCGTGGGGCTTCCCTGGTGGCTCAGATGATAAAGCGTCTGCCCGCAGTGAGGGAGACCCGGGTTCGATCCCTGGGTTGGGAAGATCCCCTGGAGAAGGAAATGGCAACCCACTCCAGTACCCTTGCCTGGAAAATTCCATGGACGGAGAAGCCTGGGTCACAAAGAGTCGGACACGACTGAGCGACTTCACTTCACAGCTGATAAAAAGCTTGGGTTGTCTCGGTGGCGTGGATTTGCTCCTGGATGGATTTCACCTGGCGGCAGTAGCGAGGCCCTCGGGCCTCTCCTGGGAGTCGGCGTGTGGGCAGAGCATACTTGACCCACGTCAGGGGCGGAGTGCGCCTCCTCCGAGCTCCTAGGCAGTGGGTCCCAGGTCTCAGGGCTCTCCATTGTGGCGGGGAACGCCCATTTCGTGGGCTCCTGCGTCCCCATCCATCGGCATCCAGTGAGCTGAGCGGAGGGGTGCGGACCACAGGTATGGGAACTGGGGCTCGGTGGTGCAGGGTGGAGCGGGGAATCACGTATTCCGCCCTCTCTGTTGGCACAGTCTCGGAGCCCCCTAACTTGGCGGTCGCAGAAAGGCCTCGCCACTGGGGTCAAGGCCTTTACCACTTTACCCCTTCGCATAAAGCTCAGACCCGAGGTTTTCCCAGGCAGCCTAGTGCCTGCAGCGAGGTCCCCAGGAAGTCCGAGGGATTTATCCTGCCTGGTGATTTCACCTGCTGGGACTCCACAACCCGCACTCTGGCCAGCTGGCCCAGCCCTGCTTCTGGCACTATGCAGGCCAGCGGGCCCTTGATAACCTGCTGGGATGGGAAAGGGAAGGGTCCACGAATTGCACCCTAGAACCTTAGTAGGGTGCATGGATTTAAAAACCTTGGCCACTCAGGCAGAAGAGAAGGGAGGAGGGCACCTTGCTGCCCTTTCCTGGGGGAATCTGTGGCTGTCCTGCTGACAGGGGGCCTTTCCATGGGGACCCTGTGCAATAAGGGTGGTGTTTTGGAACTGAATAATTAGAACGTGTAAAATTTTTAAATTATGTGGTGCTTTAATTAAAAAAAAAAAGCTCCAAGTTTTTTTTCCAAATTGAGGTCTAAAAATTGAAGGCCTGTTTTCCTTTCACTGTGGCATTCTATGAAGAAATGTGTGTTTTTTTGAGTCAGAAAGGTGAGGGAAACAGAAAACCCAGAGGTGCCCCTGTAGTTTGGCGAAGGCCTTAGGAGGTCACTTGTAAATGCTGCTGGCTGTCAGGAGGCAGTCTCTTCCTGTGGCTGATGAGCACAGATCTCTGCAGGCTTGTCTTTTGCATGGATGTTCTTGTTTGTGGAAATCCAGCTCGGAGCCATCTCCTGATGTGTAAGAATTTCCCAGACTAGACCCCTAGGCAAATCCCGTAGGACCAGGGACTCCTTCCTTCATTGTATTTGTCTGTTTGACTGAAAAGCAGCAATGACATATTTTTCTTTAAATCTGGTCTATCATCCAGGCCTTGGAGTAATATTTCCCATCTCTCTCAATAGATTTGGGTTCCAGGGATGATTTATAGTTAGTTGTCCATGATTTTGCAGATGAGGAAACTGAGAGCCAGAGAGGGTGGAGGACTGTCCAAGGGAGAATGGGATATCCTTCCAGGAACCCTGGCTCCTGGGCTTTTAATGAGCTTCCTACCCAGCATGGTCATTCATTGGCAAGTGTCGACATTGAGAATAAACTATTGGTGGAAGTGTAAAAGGCTTTTTTTAAAGAATGTGCCTACCAGCTGTTCATCTTATGGAGTATTTTCATTATACTCCCCAACCCTTGGAAAGTGCTGTGCACAGGGCAGATGCTTCACCATTTTTATTGAATAAGTTCAATGTCACACAATCATATCCATAGAGTCAGCAACACTATGAGGTACATTAGAACAGTGATCATCACAGTTGGTACTTCACGGATCAGTAAAGAAAGAAAACTTTTTCTTAGGAAGACTGTAAAAGAATTGCTAAGTTTTAAGTTTATCCAACAGGGATATTAAAAAAAAAAATGAATCACCTCTCCGATCATCACCAAGGCTATCAGAGGTCTGTTGAGGACCCCATGCAAGGGAGGGTCTACCTCTTGGGACACCCCTGCTTCAGCATCTCCCTAAGCCAGCAACCTGGGACAGCTGAGTACACTTGAAGTTCCTTCCTTGACCTCGGGAGTTTTTTTGGAAGATGGTTTTTTGACAGACAAGGGTGGGGGAAGGTTTTGGGATGTTTCAAGTGCAGTCCATTTATTGTGCACTCTATTTCTGTTTCTGTTCCCTGGAGGCTCAGTTGGTAAAGAGTTTGCCTGCAATACGGGAGACCCGGGTTCAATCCCTGGGTCTGGAAGATCTCCTGGAGAAGGAAATGACAGCCCACTCCAGTATTCTTGCCTGAATAATTCAATAGACTGAGGAGTCTTGTCCTACAGTCCATAGGATCACAAAGGGTTGGACACGGCTGAGTGACCAAACACTTATTTCTATTATTATTTCTTCAGCTTCACCTCTGATCATCAGGCATTAGATCCTAGAGGTTGGGGGCCCCTGCTTTAGTTCCCTCTTTCATCTTCTACGCAGCTCCAGCCTGCTTCCTCCTCCTCTTCCACCTGCGGAACTACCTGCTAGGCTTGTCTGAATGAATGTGACTAAGAATCTCCTTCCCTCATTTCCTTTTCTCTGAGTCCCTTCTCCTAACTGGGTTTCCCTGATCTCCATTTAGGCACTTTTGCCACAGGTTGTGCTAGTGGTAAAGAACCTACCTTCCAATGCAGGAATTAGACACTGGATTGGGAGGATCCCCTGGTGGAGGGTGCGGCAACCCACTCCAGTATTCTTGCCTGGAAAATTCCCATGGACAGAGGAGCCTGGCGGGCTTTTGACAGTCGGACGTGACTGAAGCAACTTAGCCCAGCACACCAGAGGACCTTTGAACTGCAGACTCCTGTGATTGCTTTGGCTCTTTGGAGTAACTTGTCATTCCACGTGTATGTTAGAGTCAGCTTGTGTATTTCTTCCTAAAGGCCCGAGAGGGTAACAGGCAGGAAGGCCAGGGGTCTCCAGACAGAGGGAATAGGCTGCAAGTGTCAGATGTTTTTTTAATCTCTCACTTAAGAGGCAGGAGGAGACAAACTAATGTTACATTTTTTCCCCTTCTGGATACAAATTTAAAAGGAAGTTTCTCTTAAAATTCTGGGTTGCCATGACGACTCCTGGCTCCACCTGATTTTAACTTTTCTCAAACCTTGAACTAAGCAATGCATTCTTCTTATGGAAATGTTTGTCTTAAGCTATGGTAATGTACTATGTATTTACCCTAGACTCTGTCTTCAAGTCATTCCTCCTAAAGGCTCAGAACCAACCTGACACACCAGTATGTTTTACTCATACCTTGTTCTCCTAATCTATGTTAAGGAAACTATATATTTGCTTGGAAATCTGCCTTTTTTCAAGATTCATGTCAATCATTTTATGGCTCAGGATGACTCACCTGCTGCCAGTGTTATCTCAGTGCATGTTGTGGGTGAGGGGCCTGGTGCCATTCTCTGAGACATTGCCTTTCTTTAATTAGCAGACTGCTAGCGGCTGTATAACATCTGGCTAAAGACTAGCAGGGGGTAGTCTATGTCAGCAGCTTTCTCTGTCTCTTTTATACTTTAATAAAACTTTGTGACACAAAAGCTCTGAGCAAGCAAGCTTCGTCACTGGCCCTGGATTGAATTCTTCTCCTCTGGAGGCCAAGAATCCTGGCATTTTTCATGGTCCAGCAACAACCTTTCAACAACCTTTTGTAATTTGCATTGAATTTTCATTTCAGATTGAAGATGCATTCCATGGTATTGCCATCTTGAGTCTTTCCATCGCTATGGAATATCTGTATATGCATTTAGGATATTTTTCAGCAATCATGTATGCCAGTCTTGTCATCCTCATTACATCCATGGCAAAGTATTTTATTAATGTTGTCATCATTGAAAGGGAATTGTTTTTTAAATTCCTTTTCAGATTGTTATTCGCTAGTGTATACAGATAAAACTGTGTAACTATCCATTTTTATCAGTTTGGACAGCTTGATAGTTGTCTTTCTTTACTTTCTCATAATTTAAGATTACCCTGAGTCATATATTTACAGTCTCACCTCTAGTCTCAGTCATTTCTTCAAAGAACTTCTGTCCTTTTTTTTTTTAACATTAAATTATTTTTGACTATGCTGGGTCTTTATTGCTAGATGTCTAGTTGTAGTGAGCAGAGGCTACCCTCTAGTTGCCGTGCCATGGCTTCTCATTCCAGCACTTTCTCTGGTTGCAGAACTTGGACTCTGGAGCATGTGAGCCTCAATAGTTGTACGGGGGCTTAGTTGCCCCCAGGCATGTGGAATCTTCTAGGACCAGGGATTGAACCTGTGTTCCTTGCATTGGTAGGCAGATTCTTTACCACCAGGCCACCAGGGATGTTTCCTGTCCCCTTTTATTAGAGAATGGTATTTAAAACATACATGTTGGAGCTAAATATGCTCAGCTAACAATACATGGAAATATATACATGTATTCCAGCTTACCTTTAAACATATTCAGTTAAAGGTAATTTGTGATGATGTCTCCATGGATCTTGTAACCTTTCCTTTTGTTCATCTGTAACTTCCCATTCCAGTGGTAAGATATCTGGCTTCCACCACTTGTCATGTATAGAATTCAGTGCTTGTCCCATGTGGTTACTGAAAAAACTGTCAGACTTTCTTTCAAAGGGGGCTGTGCATGCATTCCACCAGTATCTTGAGTATGTTTTTGTATGATAGTTTACTATCAGTATATCCTCAGTGGCCAAGTGTCTATTTCAATCTTTACCAATTATGAATGGACTTGTTTGCTCTAATGTTCTTGGACAATTTGAGTACAGATTCTTTGTCAGATATGCATTTTTTAGGAAAACTACCAGGGATCACACCTACATCTCCAGCACTGGCAAGCAGATTCTTTACCATGGAGCCACCAGGGCATATTTTAGATTCTAGTTTTCCACACATGTATCTGGTGAAAGAGGCTGGGATCAAGAGGCCTGGCAGCTGGGAATCCTCAGCCACAGTTCTGGCTGTGCTATCAAAAGCCCTGGGGCCTTTGGCGAGCGCCTCAACTTCCCTGGGACTGTTTCCTCCCCTCAGAAATGCCCTGCTGTTGGACTGTAGCCCACCAAGCTCCTCTGTCCCTGGGATTTCTGAGGCCAGAATGCGGGAGGGGGTGTCATTTCCTTCTCTACAAGATAGCATTTTGAAGATATTTCTCCTGGATATTGGTTTTGATGAAGGAAGAGGGATCCCTTCCAGGGCTTGAGAGTGGGT